CCTGGTGAATTATGTAGAATATTATATCTAATGAGCTGATTGATATCCAGGTAGAAGACAATGGCCTCAGCTGTAGCTTCTTTCCTTTCATAGTGGTTGAGGATGATGTCTGTTCTGAAATCCGTATGCTCGAGAGCACGTTAGAGTTTACTGGCACAGATTCTGCAAAGCAGGCTATGGATTTTATTCATGAAATCGGCTGGCTTCTTCACAGAAGTAAACTGAATTCAAGACTCGGGCAAGAGTCGAAGCCTAATGGAAATTTATTCCCTTTAAGACGGTTCAAGTGGCTAATCGAGTTTTCGATGGACCACGAGTGGTGTGCTGTGATCAGAAAGCTGCTAACCATTCTTTTTGACGGAACGGTTGGTTCAGAACAAGGTCCATCCTCTGATTCTGCCCTATCCGAACTGTGCCTTCTTCACAGAGCTGTGAGGAAAAACTCTAGACCCATGGTCGAGATGCTTCTCCGGTATGATCCCAAGGAGCAGAAATTATTGGGCAACGAGATCAGATTGTTCAGACCCGATGCCACCGGCCCAGCTGGTTTGACACCTCTTCACATTGCAGCCGGTAAAGACGGCTCAGAAGATGTGTTGGACGCCCTGACTGAAGATCCTGGAATGGTGATTAAATTTTTCCTCTCTTCTTCAACCTAACCCTCAAGATTTGAGAAACATATCGGTATCTTTACCTGGCCTCGCGTGTTACTGTATCGAATTCTCTAAACATGAACTCCTCCTCACATCTGATGCAGGTTGGACTCGAAGCCTGGAAGAATTCCCGGGACAGCACGGGCTTCACACCCGAAGACTATGCCCGCCTTCGTGGCCATTTCTCCTACATCCATCTCATCCAACGCAAGCACAAGAAGAAATCCACCACTGAAGAACACGCAGTGGTGGTCGATATCCCTCTGTCTTTCCCTGATACCGCCATGGAGAACAGTCTCCAGAAGCAGAAAACCGGGTCGAGACCCTCCGGCTTGTCGGAGATCTCTCGGCCCACGTCTTCGCACTGCAAGCTATGCGACCAGAAAATGGCATATGGGTTTGGACCGGCAGTCAGGTCTGTGGCTTACAGACCGGCGATGCTGTCAATGGTGGCCATAGCGGCGGTCTGTGTCTGCGTGGCCCTTCTGTTCAAGAGTTGCCCGGAAGTGCTTTACGTGTTCCAGCCCTTCAGGTGGGAGTTACTTGCCTATGGATCCAGCTGAGTAATTTAACTATGGACCACCCAAAGTATACAATAATCGTCTAAAGGAAGACTATATAATATATAATAATTTATAAATGAATAGCTTGGTATTTGTATGCTTCATATATATATATACACACACAAAACATGGCGGCGTAGAAGACGGATCTCATGTGCAACAAGTACAAGCTCTGGAATGTGAGATGCCACATATATATTCACATGCATATACACGTGCACAGATACACTATACACACATACATACACAGTTACACGTACACACATATATACATATATATATATATATATATATTCACAAACACATACATATACATATATATTTACAAACACATACACATACATTTCACAAATACATACACATATACGTTTCACAAACACATAAACACACTTACAATCACATACATATTCACTTACATATAATTGATGTCGTAAATCTAGGTGTAAAAGATTCGATCAACTAATAAAATCCAAGGCTCAATAAATTTTGTAAGTGTACGGATTGTGTGTAGCAATCAGAGACTGAATCAAATTCCAATCCAAATCTAAATCTAGAGAAAATATGAGAATGATGAGAACATATCGAAACAAATAATAAAAAACGATTGTAAATTATAAATGACGATCACTGCAGGTTTTAAGATTATTTTACATGTAAAGGGTCTTCTCTAAAGAGATGCGGATTCTGTGGTTTCTAAATCCAATTCAGAGAATTCATGCTCTAAAATAGAGATTAATTCTCTCGAGTTTAACCTCACTATCAAGGTTTTATTTTATTAATCTCTCGATTCAATAATCTAAACTCTGAATGCATGAATGAACACTATCACAATCCCTAGGTAAATATCCATCTTTCGATGCAATACCTATTCTATTTATTGAGTTATTTCCAGGTTAGAATCTTATATGTTTATGCGAATTAAAATTTTAAGTTCATTCAATCAACTGACCAACAGAATCAAACGCATTAAGAATAACTCAATAAACTGAATTAAATAAATAATACCATAGTCTCCAATTAAAAAAACCGAAGATCCCTACATTGCAAATCTCTAACCTACAGTTATGGAATTACTTGTTAAACATCGAGACGACATAGTTCATATCAATAATACAAAAAATCGTAAAATAGAATAAAACAAGAACGCTTAGTCGATTTCTTGGCTTTGTGGTTTCCATCTTCTACTCTAATATCTTGCCTCTTGATAATCGCTCCATTTTTCTCTGTTCATAAGTGTATTTTCTGCTAAAAATCGGAATGAATTCGACCTAGGAGGTGTGCTCTTTTTCTCTCCTATCTCTTGGACGAAATGCAGAATGTTTCTAAATCTGATTGTCAAAACGATCGTTTTGACATTAAGTAAAACGATCGTTTCTAGTTTATGAGCAATTTTCGATTTTTCTTGACGCAAAACGATCGTTTTGAGCTTCCCAAATCGATCGTTTTGACTTTCTGAGCAATTTTGGATATTCAAGTGTGTGAAACGATCGTTTTGGCTCTCTGATCTTCTATTCTTCGGGTTTCGCCTTCTTTTCCGCTTCCATTGCGTTGTAACTGTAAAGATTAATAACAAAGTGAAACCGAAGCTAAACACGCATTTAAACGTCTCAACTACATAAGCACTCATGCATATACATTCACACATATACATATTCATATAAACACACATTCACTTACACACATACATAAATAACCACACATACAAACAAACACATATCGCAATTCGTCGTAAATTATTAATTACGATGGATTTTCTTCACATTTTGCGACGAATTTTTCGGTCGCTATATTTATTTTTTACTTTTTTAATGCGTCCGTCCGAAAAAATATCACCGGTCTTATCCTTCTGATTAATAACCCGAGACACGTGTTTGAAAATACACACAAGAAAAAACACGGTTAAGACACCGAAATGTCATAGTAAACTATTTGGGTCGTAGTATTGTGTTCCGGTCTCTGGTAGTGGATTTCTGACCACCGCATGATTCCATCCAATGTTAAACATACGATCTAAAACGAATAATTTTATATTCCTAATTTGCTTACAAAATCAAAAGTAATAATAAATTTTAAAGTTTATATGTATCGCCTGCATACGGATTATTATCCAGTGATTATAAATAAAAGGTTTGATATGACAAATAATTCTGGGAAATAAAGCCCATTATTAAATGGGCCTTCTATCATGAAGCCTACACGTTTTTATTCATTCGCTAACGTAGAAGCTGTACAAAATATATAAACGTTATGAGTGACGATAGTTTTAACTTTTAGTTTTTTATTTTTAAATATAGTGTTTAGTTTTTGATTTTTTAGAAATCCAAAAAAATAGAATTTTTAACTTTTTTTTTTTTACTAAAATAATTTTCTATTTTTTTAGAAAATTAAATTCTCACAATATTAATTATCAATTATTTTTTGCATTCTAGAAAAATTCCAAACACTCGGATTTCATCCATTCAATTCAATCCAAAAAATTAATACGCCAACAATATAAACATATACTAATTGGAGAGACCCCAAAATTCCAGAGGTGGTACTTGTTGTACATGAGATCCGTCTTCAACGCCATATTTTGTGTGTGTATATATATCAAACATACAAATACAAGCAAGTTAATCATTTATAAATTATTATATATCATATAGCCTTATTTTAGGCGGTTATTTTCAATACTTTGGGTGGTCCATAGTAAAATTACTCTAGCTGGTTCCATAGGCAAGTAACTCCCACCTGAAGGGCTGGAACACGTAAAGCACTTCCGGGCAACTCTTGAACAGAAGGGCCACGCAGACACAGACTGCTGCTATGGCCACCATTGACAGCATCGCCGGTCTGTAGGCCACAGACCTGACTGCCGGTCCAAACCCATATGCCATTTTCTGGTCGCATAGCTTGCAGTGCGAAGACTTGGCCTGGTTGGCCAGAGCGATCTCCAAGCCGGAGGGTCTCAGCCCGGTTTTCTGCTTCTGGTGACTTTTCTCAATGGCAGTATCAGGGAAAGACAGAGGGATATCGACCACTACTGCGTGCTCTTCAGTGGTGGATTTCTTCTTGAGCTTGCGTTGGATGAGATGGATGTAGGAGAAATGGCCGCGAAGGCGGGCATAGTCTTCGGGTGTGAAGCCCGTGCTGTCCCGGGAATTCTTCCAGGCTTCGAGTCCAACCTGCATCAGATGTGAGGAGGAGTTCTTGTTTAGAGAATTTGATACAGTAACTCGTGAGGTCAGGTTAAGATACCGATATGTTTCTCAAATCTTGAGGGAATGGTTGAAGAAGAGAGGAAAAATTCAATCACCATTCCAGGATCTTCAGTCAGGGCGTCCAACACATCTTCTGAGCCGTCTTTACCGGCTGCAATGTGAATAGGTGTCAAACCAGCCGGGCCGGTGGCATCAGGTCTGAACAATCTGATCTCATTGCCCAATAAATTCTGCTCCTTGGGACCATACCGGAGAAGCATCTCGACCATGGGTCTAGAGTTTTTCCTCACAGCTCTGTGAAGAAGGCACAGTTCGGATAGGGCAGAATCAGAGGATGGACCTTGTTCTGAACCAACCGTTCCGTCAAAGAGAATGGTTAGCAGCTTTTTTATCACAGCACACCAATCGTGGTCCATCGAAAACTCGATTAGCCACTTGAACCGTCTTAAAGGGAATAAATTTCCATTAGGCTTCGACTCTTGCCCGAGTCTTGAATTCAGTTTACTTCTGTGAAGAAGCCAGCCGATTTCATGAATAAAATCCATAGCCTGCTTTGCAGAATCTGTGCCAGTAAACTCTAACGTGCTCTCGAGCATACGGATTTCAGAACAGACATCATCCTCAACCACTATGAAAGGAAAGAAGCTACAGCTGAGGCCATTGTCTTCTACCTGGATATCAATCAGCTCATTAGATATAATATTCTACATAATTCACCAGGCGAAGAGAAATAATCAAGCTTGATTTGTAATGTTGTCCAAATCATTGGGAAAGAAAATTTTGAGAAAAAGCAAATCAAGAGATACTCAAACATGAAAAACCATTTTAAAATTCGCCGATCTCATTGCAATAAAAGAACGAATGAAAATATAAGGTAGCTCTCACCTCCATAAACCCCCGTCCGCTTGCAGCAGGCATATCACATGAAAATTCGATACACTCAACCTCATTGTTCTCCTCCTCGAGGTCATCGTTCCCATCCATTGATTCTAGAGTCGCTTCCTGAACCAAATATTTTCCTTCTACAGCACAAAGTAACCTGTAAAACATTGTAAAAGAGATGCATTTGAAGATTTTCACTGCAGAGAATGAGACAGGGGCATGCATGATAACAAAGGGTCAAATTGTAACACAATCTTAGTGGGTATGAAGACAAACAAAGCTATGTATATGTGTATAGAGCACAAAGCTATGTATATGTAATGTACCTCGTGCCAGGTTTTCGGAGGTTGGTGCCTCTTACTGTAAATTGAATCCTTCCAGTTGCAGCCACTGCAATCGGTCTTACGCAAAAGATTTGGCTACAATTGCGACTTCTTAGAGGCAAGGATGTGTCCACAACAACCTGACCTGCAGCCCAAAAGAAAAGAAGGGTTCAGCAATCCAAACAAGAGACACATCAAATGTGAGATGACACAAGTAACACCATGGAAAGATGGAAGCGGAAGAGAGGCATTCCCAAAACTCACCATTAAGAGCGAATGCTATTTGGTTCTGCACCCTGACATAAATCAATCCATCTGTCCAGAAAGGGTCATCTGAAAGATCTAGAAGCCTCCTCAAACTGAAACCCAGATCACTGCAAAGCTGAAAGAAAAAGAAAATGCAACACTTCATGAGTCTGAAACTTCTAACAAGAGAGATGAGATGGCCAAGCAGAGAGAATGTCAAAAGAAATCTCACTTCTTCCCAAGCACCTTCAGCTTGACGAAGGTAAATGGTCAAAACGATACAACCAGGCCTAATGTAGCTCTCCATGTCAGTTGGACTATGTGATAACCAGTCAAGAATCTGGAGGTTCAAAATTTCAAACACAAATATCACTTTTCAAATCACTTAAAGTATTACAGCAGCTGCAGAAACTGAAGTTTCAAGATTGTATACCTGTCCTCGCAAAACAACAGGAAAATCATTTGGCTCTTTCCCAAATAGTTTGAATACGATACGATCTGTGCGGCCCTGAAGGTAGAGCAGAAAAATAAAATTAGGTTACAAGCAGAACCCCAGCAAAAACAAATTCTTAAACATGTGCAGTCCAACGATGGGAGGGCATGAGAATACCTGAGCATCTATGCTGGAACTATGACCACTCACCTTCTAGTTCCAGCATAGATGCTCAGGTATTCTCATGCCCTCCCATCGTTGGACTGCACATGTTTAAGAATTTGTTTTTGCTGGGGTTCTGCTTGTAACGTCTGAGGTGGACTAGACTGATGTGATTCTTGGCGTATCCACGAAGGATAATCGAGAGAACTAGTTGTTGGATTCATAGGTGGTGATCTCTCTACATCCACTGTACCATCATCCGAGTCTATATAAATGTCATTTAAATCAAAATCATTCACTCTGACCCGTTTTGGAGAACAATTCACGCCTTCTGCACCTCGAGTAACATCTACATATACTTCTTGTCGAGGCATTTCAGATTCATTTACTGAAAGAGGCTTTAGATCCTCCTGAGGGGATTGCCCATTTGAAAGCAAATGAGAGTTGCCAACATTTAGAGATGATTGGACTCTTCCCTGCAGAAGTCCATCAATGTTCTTTCCGATTTGTTCACCAGCATGGCTCACAAGGCTTTTCAGAAGATGGGATAAAAGATCTTGATCACCCGCATGGTCCGATCCATTGGCTGCAACAGAAAACAGAATTAACAACTAATTACTAGTGGATTAAGACCAAAATCAGAAAAAGATCATGTCAAATATAATTTTTAGTGAAAGTAAAAGATAAGACTAAAGCAACATACAATGCATATTGGAGAGTACTTTCAAGAGATTAATCAACAAATAACTGCTTGTTTGATCATCACCCAGAGGATTCCCATTGCCACCAGTATCAGGATTTGTCTTCCTCCGACGTTTATTATGCCCAGCCAGACGTCTTCGGCAACTTCTCTTTCCTTCATCAAACTCTTGAAGGACATGAAACCTGCACAGCATCTTTTATAGCTTAACCATGTGGTCTATGATGCAGCTACAGAAACAAACTGCAGAAAGAATCTATCGATATAAGCACACGGCAAATGATCCTTGGACTTAGTCATTCATTGGGTATCACAAGGAGCAGATTGAGAATACCAAAGTTGAAAATTTTCACGTTACTGTATCTGATCTAAAAAGCTCTGAAGGAAGATTTACCTACTACACTGCTGACAGAACCGCTGCATAATTCCTCCAACAAGTGCACTACTAGCCTTGGAGTGCATCTCACACACCTTATGCCGTCTATGATAATCCTTCACCCTGCTCAAATCAGCTCCACAGTTTTCCACCTGACAAACTGCCCGACTGGGAACACTTCCACCAGCTTTTGTCGCCTTCGCACCATTTATGTCCAAAGTCTCTCTATCACCAGCAGGATAACCATGTCCGCACAACTTCAGAGTGAGGCTACCAGCATCATCCCTCAAGTTATTATCCTCAATCACGACAGCCCTCCTCTTCTTGTCCAATCCCCTTGTCCCTCTCTCCATCATTTCTATGTTCCCTTCATCTGACCATGTGGAAGAGCTGTTCGATGAGTTTCCAGTGGTTGGAATAGCGGAGCAGAGAGGGAAAAATTGGCGCCCCATGGTTTCACTAGAGCCAGGATTTAACTGTCTAGCCACGAACAGGTCACCGTCCCATTTCCAATCATTCGAATCCCACTCAGCAATCCTTTTACCTACAGCCCGAAGATCCATGGCGCTAACACCATAGAAACGGTGAGCTTCACCTTCAACCCTATCTTCCATTGCAGAAATGTCCACCAAAGCTCACGAGAGAGCCAAATCAAGTGATTGTACTCTCAAAATATCCAAATTCACGGTACAGAAGAAATCAAATCAAATCAAATCCAATTCATCTTGTAGATTAGAGCACAAACCCATGAAAACCCAAATTCAGACTCGCCTTAGTCAGCCTTGCTTTTTTCCCCAAACCCCAGAAACCACAGTGGCAGATCCATGGCTCTAATTAAACGCAACGCGCTTGTCCATATCAAAAGCACGAATCAACTAAAGCTCTTTCGCCATGGGAGAACCATGAAACAACCCTCAAAAAATCCGACCCGAGGGCTCCTCCACGCCGAAAAGGACAGAGAACTGACCTGTAGCTTCGTCCAACCACACAGAACAAGAAGCACCTCCAGAGACAGCTGACGACGCTGGGAATAACGATAGGACGGCCACCGGAGAAAATCCAGCCGATGATGATGTGATGGAGATGGTGAGGGTGACGATGCCTGAGGAGTGATGGATCGGATATTGCAGACGGTTATGGTATGGTAGTAGATAGAAATGGTTAGATTAAAAGCATTCATTCATCTCCATACAGTACAGAGAAGGAAACAAAGTTGGTTAAAAAAAACACAAATTTATTTAAGGGATAATTCCATTTAAAACCCTATACTTTTTTTCGTCTCAATTTAAACCCTATACTTTTTTTTTATCCAAAAAAACATTGTACTTTTAAAAATTGGTAATTAAAACTCTATACTTTTAAAAATTGGCAAATAAAACCCTGAACGAAAAATAATATTATTTAATGCTGACATGTCATCCCAATCATCTGTCGCATCATCAATCTCTCATATTTAATAATATTAATTAATAAAAAATAAAAATAAAATAATAAAAATAAAAATGAAAATTTAAAAATTATATATATTCATAAAAATTATACACATATAAAAACATGTTTATAAAAATTTTAAAATTATATACATATATAAATATATTTATATATACATATATACATATATATACATATGATATATATATATCTATATATGTGTATAATTATTATATGTTTTAGAGATAATTTCATTTAAAACCCTTTACTTTTCTCTCGTCTCAATTTAAACTATATACTTTTTTTTGATCCAAAAAAACATTGTACTTTTAAAAATTGGCAATTAAAACTCTATACTTTTAAAAATTGGTAAATAATAAATAAAACCTTGAACGAAAAACAATATTATTTAATACTGACATGGCATCCTAGTCATCTGCCACATCATCAATCCCTAATATTTAATAATATTAATTAATAAAAAATAAAAATAAAATAATAAAATAATAAAAAAAAATTTAAAAATTATATATATTCATAAAATTATACACATATATAAACATGTTTATAAAAATTTTAAAATTATATACATATATAAATATATTTATATATACATATATACATATATATACATATGATACATATATATCTATATATGTGTATAATTATTATATGTTTTA